AAAGTGTTTTATAAAAAATATTAATAATCTTTAATAATTCCAAACTTTTTTTATGTAAAGTAAATTATTTAACACAGTGCATGTGTTGTATAATAAAAATAAATAAAAAATAAATAAATCGATAAAATAAAAATGGCTCTCATATTATACTGCGATGATTTAACACAAGCTCCTCAAAACCTTAACACGGATATATGCAGTATTAGCACTTTCAAATGGCAATTAAGTATCGTGGTAAGCGTGTTGTTGTTGGTGATTGGCCTACACGTTTTAAGAAAGTGGAAGTACAGGTAAGAATATTAAAAAAAGTTTTCTAACATTCACTTACTGTGAGATAATTATTACGAAATCAGAGTTTAGTCTACAAAAAAACTTGTATATGCGAGCCTCATTTCTTGTGATATTGATCTCAAATTTTGCACACCTTTTCTCCGTAAGAAGCTGCTCATTTGTCGGCATCGCCGATATTGCCATACAAACATACACACTTGTCATACAAACTGAGCGCTCAAAACCAACTGTTTGTATTGAAAACTTTTTTATTTAACAAATTTTCTTTACGAACTTTACACATATATTATTGTCCAAGGTAACGGTAAAATCTCCGAAAAAATTATTTAGATCGGAACGCTATAGCATATAGCTGCCATACAAACTGACCGATTTAAATCAAAATAAAGGACTTTTTATACCCATTTCATGATATGTACATGTGAAGGGTATAACTACTTTTGTTTTTTTATTATTATTTTTACTTATGTATATGTACATACATACCATTACACTTTGCGGTAAGTCTATGTGTCTTGCAACATTTTTGATTTATTTTTAAAAATTAAGTTTTTCAAGGAATTATGATAAACGTAAACCAAATATTGTACGTACGTAGAATTTTTGGTACCCTTGAACTAAATGCTAATTTGATTGCATAAAATTCCAAAATAATCGCGGCACTTGTTGAAATAGACACGCGCTTCCAAACATAATTACACATATATGTACATATGTACATACAGGTGTAAATACATGCAATTTGTTCACGCATTTATTGTGGAAAATTTGAAAAAAAAAAAATTATTGAAGCCAACAACAATAATAGTTGCATAAATATGCTCGCGCTCATGTAATAAATGTGTAAATAAATACATAAATACGTACATATGTACATACATATTTACAAAAAAGCATGTTCTTAATGAAAAATGTGCAGTCATTAATTTACAAACGCATACTACACTCATGCACACACATAAGTACTTACACATACATATACTATATGTACATTTACTTTGCAGCGGGTTTCATGCCTTAAGTGTTTTCTCTTACAATTTTACAGAAATTTCGCAAAAATCAAAAGCTCACGCGCTTTTCTAGCAATACGTTATAAGAAATAAAGCTAAAAGAGCGCAAACGAATTTTCAACAACTTACGGCGAAAAACAATGAGCGAGTTTTCCACATTCGTGGAACGTGCGAAGTACATTCACACATACATACATATGCACTTATGTATTGCTTGTCTGCAAAAACAAAAAATGGAATAAAAAATAAATAAATATAAACAATGAGCTTAAATTTAGCAAACGTGATTAATATTCTTATAAACAAAACCAAAGCGAAACAAACGTGAAAAGGTGAAATTAAAGAAAACTCTTGAACTGTAAGCAATAATGAAAAGTAAAACTGTTTGGCAGCCAGTTTATATGTGTTTTTGTATTTTTTATGCATATGTAAAATAGATTAATAAAATAACAGTATATTCATTCATAGCATCCCCAAAACTTATGCCAACACTTATTCCAGCCCTCGAAACTCTTCTCATAAGCACTTTTTGGAATGGCCTTCAGTGCACTCGGTTTTATCTCTTCAATTGACTGAACACGGGTACCGCAGGTAGTCAAATCTGTTGAATACGTTGGCTGATCGATGATATTCATTGCGTTTTTGGGCTTAAATTCGTGGCTCGATGCGATGGTGCATTATCATCGTGTAAAATTCATGAAGTGTTCTTCCACAATTCCGGCAGTTTTCGAAACATGTTTTGACGCAAATGCCTCAATACGCCGAAATGAAGTCCCTTATCGACCGTCTTTCCCTGTGGAACAAATTTATGATGCACAAACCACGAATATCCCTTCCATTCCGATGATTGTTGACTTGTTTGCATGTCAAACTCATAAACCTTTACAAAAGGTTTACGATTATGCAAGTCCAAAGAGACCTATTTACAGTACTCTTTTTGAAAAAAAAAATCAGCTTTATCGGAATGATTTAAGCGTTTCATACCCAAAATATCCACCAAAATCATTCGAACGGACTGGCGAGAGATGTTGAGTTCTTTTGTCATCACTTTCCTAACGGTTTTCAAGCAGCATATTCTCCACGTTTTTTTGTTAATATTTTCATTAGTTGAAGAGGTCGTCCAAAGTGAGGTATGTCTTCAACGATCTCTCGCCCGTCTTTGAAGGCTTTGCACCACTCATAGGCTTATGTTTTTAATAAAACTGAATCACCGCAAGCCTTTTCCAATATTCGCAAGGATCCCGCACACGAAATATGTTTAGAAATACAAAATTTGTCAATATCATTTACCTGTGAAAATTAATTAAATTTTTCGGGAGCTTCTTTGTTACAATATATTACAGCTTTTCGAAGCACAAAACAAAAAAAAAAACGTTAATTTCGGCTACACCGAAACTTTAGTCCTCTTCACTAATAGCAAATATATGTTTTGCTAGTTCTTTTCAGCCACGTTGTTTGATATAAATCCCTTTCAAACCCTATGAAGGCTAGTTAATAAAAAAAAAGGATATTTTCTGAAAATTTTTATTTTGATTTTGATCGCTCAGTTTTTATGGCATCTATAGTGATCCGATTTGAACAATATGTTCGCTTATATTGTCAAAAAGCTTTCCAACAAATGAGCAGCTTTTGAGGAGAAAAGTATTTTTGGGATACTTCAGATCATTTTCCCAAAAACTGAGGGAGAATAACGTATATACAGATTGACGGACCTGTGTAAATGGACTCACCTCGTTACGTCGATCATACATATATTTATATATGTATATATTTTATGAGATCTACAACATTATTTTTGGTAGTTATAAACTTCGAGCATTAAATTGCAATTGGAAACTTGGCTTTTAAGACAGTTCAAGATTAAATGTTCCTTCGATGTATAGTATATTAGCATCACAAGGTACTTCGCAATCGTTGATTGAAAACATTATGTAGATAAAATCATATACTTATCAGTTTTCACGTAGTTTTCATATTCTTTGACCAAATGAACAAAGTTTTAACGTTTCTTTTAAGATGAGTGAGCCTCGGCTGATAAATAAATATAGAAAGTTGGTCAGTCGGTTTGGTTGATTACAAAGTAATATCGGGTGAGAATTTTTAGTCCTCAGAACTTTATAAATTAAAAAATTTATGCAAAAATTATTCTTATTAGTCTTACTATGTCAATATTTTTAGAGTTCGGGGTTCTTGAAATAGATAATGCTAATATATATCTTTTCAATATTTAAGTTACAGCTTTCTTGTGGTTTTTAGCAATACAATGACATTTGAACAAGTATAAAGCTTAAGCTCTAACTTTTTTCCTTTCCCCGTGATCCTTTTCGAGGTTCACTATTTTAAAAGAAAAAAAAAAAACAGAAATATTGGCATTTATTTTTTGAAGACTATCTCTTTCAAATGTTGGCAGTGGCTACGTCTCAGATAGTCCATCCGTTGAGTCCAATTTTAGATGCCTCATTCGTTCATTTCGACAGATGAAGGGCTGAATCGTTGCCGAATGTCCTCAAATACTTTACTCAGAGGAAAAGGTCTAAAGGTGTGATGGTAGACGATCTTGGTCGAAGTGTTCTCTCAATAAATCCATTGATTGATGCGATGAGAAGATGGCGCTAGTTAAAACCCTTCGTTACCGTTATCACAAGCTTCAGTTTCAGGCATCAATTAGTCGGTTATCATGGCGCGATAACGGTCGCCATTGACGGTTCCCACGATAGTCGGGTCTAGGAAAACCGGAACGGACCCGGATTTTTATCCGGCCAAGGACTGTCAACTCGGCAGAATTTCTGCCGTTACAACAATATCAACGGTTACGTTTTCAATGGCATCATTTTTGAAGAAATATGTACCAATGATTTCTCCGGCCCACAAACGACATCGAACCGTTGTTTTTTCTGGATAAAATGGCAGCTCTTAAATTTCAAATGCGGCACTTTTGCTTGTTTACATACCCACTAAGCCAAAAATGGGCCTCATCGCTGAAAAAAATTTTGCTCGAAAACACTGGATCTTCTTGGAACTTTTGAAGAGACCATAGAGCGAAGCAATGTCGCTTAAAAAGGTCGAACGGCTTCAGTTCTTGCATTCCGATTTAGATGTAAAATGCGCCAAGTCGTTCCATACGTCAGTCCGAGTCCAATTATTCTTTACAGAACGTGAATTTTCTTAATAAAGTTGAGCGATTTATAAACGTTGTCCAGGCGTAAGTCTTTCCATGATGAAATGCGAAATAATATTGAACCAAAATAATATGACAGCTTGATAGGACTTTAAAAAAAGGTAAAAGTATCTCTATTTGAATCACCCGTTATTATATATGTACATACAGCCAGCAAAATAAAAAAGGTGCATTCAAAATATATTTCATCGAGTTTTCGGGAATTTCAACTAGACTAGGCTTCCGATTTAGTAGGTAATTATATACATAGTACATATTTTGTGTCATACTCCTGCCTTCTCTCACAGAATTAGCTGCGAACTATCTGAATAAGTTTAAGATTGGAATTACCGATTCAAAAATGTGTAGACTTAGCGATATCAAATGCCTCCACTTTTTTTTAGATGTGAACAGACACATATTTATGTATTTATGTACATATACTATGTATGTAGTTAGACCGTGCAAACTTTTTATGACACATTTTCACTTTTTAGTGTCGAAATTTCCGAGAAACGTGAGTAAATACCGAAAATTATCAGAACAAAGATGAGTTGAAACAGTAGAAAGATTAAAAAAATGTGCCTTTTACTTCTGGTATTCCCCATAATTTTACACATTTACTTAAATTAGCCTCACATATGTATGTATGTACACACTAATCGGGTCCAGCGGCAGGGAGTCAACCCAGCTGTCAAGTGCCAAATGCTACGACAGCTGCGGGCACAATAGACTCAGACAAACAGCAGCCATCGCATTGCTTTATCAATAAAAGCGTTCTGTGATATTAATCAGCGTTCAGTAAACAAAGAAGCACAGATGTACGATGATA